ATTAACGTATATTCCTAGTGATGTCTGTTTTTGCAAACAAATTACCCACATAAAATATATGCAATTTAGATTTATTTTAAGACACAGAGAATTGTGCGTGCGATGTGTGGCTTTACTGTGAAATATTCATCGATTTCGCTTGCTTTGAGCACTTTTTAGAGGGATTTACTCGGAATGTCCATGAGAAATGCATGAATTGTGCTCAACACAATGATGGATGTTAACATGAGCACTGGTACTTGTCCTCAATGTGAACCCTGAAATGGCTGATTTCTGCATCTCTATTGCCCTCTAATTGTGCACTGGTGGAAAACATTTAAAAAAAAATACATAGTCCTCCAATTTATTAACAACTCAGAGCGAGTGTGTCTGGAATATACACTACTCGCCTGTTTTGCTACATGGAAAAGTATGGAGGGCGTCAGTGCTTTTTCCCCCCCAAGTACTAATCCTCTTTTGTTCAGGCTAAAAGAAAACTGTACTCTGCAAAAATCACAGTCGCATTTCTCATAGATGTTATGACACACAGAGAGTCCCTTTAGAGCGTCTCATTTGCCAAAATTATTTTTTAAGGGTTAAAAAGTATGTAGGGGTTGCTAAAAAATACACATCTCTGTCTCATTAGAGTTCATTTGCCTTTCAGTTTAAGAAACTTTGCCTTGACTTGGCTAGTGAGCTGACACTTTAATGGCCATCAAAGTGATACTACAAAAAACTCCAGTTATGTAAATGTTCATAGGGATTTGGTATAGTGCGCAAGTAAGGTTTTTTGTTTTTTTTGCAAAATATGCCAAGACTCTTGAATGTGTCAGAGACATTTAACCCCTTAAGGACACATGACATGTGTGACATGTCATAATTCCCTTTTATTCCAGAAGTTTGGTCCTTAATGGGGTTAAAATTACATTTCATTTTTCGGGGGGAAAAAAACTCAACCGTTATGAAATCTTCAATGAAAAATGATATTTGTTTTGTATTCTATCAAACTGATTATACATCTGGAAGCAGACTGGCTTTGAAAAACACAAGACATGATGCCTACAAAAATAAAGGAGAGATATAAAAGAGAATAATGCAAGGTCTTGGTGTCACTGGAAACTCACATTTATGTACAAATGGCAAGATTTGAACATGTAGCAATAAAAACAAATAAAATGCCGAAGTAATTTGAACACGTCAAAATCAAATACGGCAAATTCACAAGTTAACTTTGAGTGTCCCATATTGCTAACGTCTTGCGTCTCTACAACTTGGATATTTGTATGAATATTATCAGACTGTACATCTGCAAGAATTTCCTGTAATAATTCCAGCTCTTGGGAAAGAGATAGAGACACATGTCCTCTTTATTTCTTTTCAGGAACAGAAAGTGCTGTATTTTTTTTAATAGTCCGTCAGTTTAAGCCAGCAGATGACAGCCCTCCCTCTAGTTTATGAATAAAGCAACGCACACAGGGTTATTCAATAAACTGAGAATCGTATTGAAAAATAATTCAAGTTCAAGAACATCTCAAACGCAGCTCTAGTTACAGTTCTGCTCAAAAGTTTGCATACCCTTGGAGAATTGGTAATATATGGACCATAATTAAAGAAAACATGAGTGAGCAGCCAGAACACATTTCTTTTATTTCTTATGGGATTCATATTCAACTGCAGGTTATAACAGAATTGCACAATCATAAAACAAAACATGGCAACAAATAAAAAAATGAAATGACCCCTTTTTAAAAGTCTGAATACCCTTAGCTCTTAATACTGTGTATTGCCCCCTTTAGCATCAATGACAACGTGCAGTCTTTTGTAATAGTAGTCTATGTGGCTCCTAATTCTTAAAAGTTGGTATAGCTGCCCATTTGTCTTGGCAAAATGCCTCCAGGTCATGCAAAGTCTTTGGTCGTCTTGCATGAACCGCACGGTTGAGATCTCCCCAGAGTGGCTCGATGATATTAAGGTCAGGAGACTGTGATGGCTACTCATGAGCTTCACCTTTTTCTGCTGTAACAACTGGAGGGTCAACTTGGCAGTGTGCTTAGAGTCATTGTCATGCTGGAAAGTCCAAGAACGTCCCATGCGCAGCCTTCGTGAGGAAGAATGGAAATTGTCTGCTAGTATTTTCTGATAGCATCTTGCCATAAATTGTCACAAGATTCCCTGTGCCTTTAGAGCGTGCACACCCAAAACATCAGTGAGCCACCACCATGTTTCACAGTGTGGATGGTACTCTTTTCACTATAGGCCTTGCTGACCCCTCTGTAAACATAGTTGTGACCATAAATCTCTATTTTGGTCTTGTCACTCCAAATTACAGTGTGCCAGAAGCTGTGAGGCGTGTCAAGGTGTTGTTGGGCATATTATAACCGGGCTTTTTTGTGGCATTGGCGCAGTAAAGGCCTTTTACTGGCAACTCAACCATGCAACTCAACCATGCAGCTCATTTTGTACAAGTATCTTCGTATTGTGCTCCTTGAAACAACCACACCGTCTTTTTCCAGAGCAGCCTGTGTTTCTCCTGAGGTTACAGGTGGGTTTATCTTTGTATCCCGAACAATTCTTTTGGCAGTTGGGGCTGAAATCTTTCTTGGTCTACCTGACCTTGGCTTGGTATCAAGAGATCCCTGAATTTTCCACTTCTTAATAAGTGATTGAACAGTACTAACTGGTATTTTCAAAGCTTTGAATATCTTTTTATATCCTTTTTCATCTTTATAAAGTTCTATTACCTTGTTACGCAGGTCTTTTGACAGTTCTTTTCTGCTCCCCATGGTTCAGTATCTAGCCTGCTCAGTGCATCC